ATGTTATTCTGTACCACGTAAAGATATAAAGATTGTCTCTATATTATTCAAATGCTGATTTCTGTTTGGGCAGAGAGGCAGGGATCTGATTACAGGCCAGACAATGGTACTGTCATTTTTATGAAGCACCTTCTTAGTATTTTGTAAACACTGTTCACCATCATCTTCTGATTGGCTAAATAGCTGAATGACCTATAACAAAGACGGGAGGGAGGGGACAGGACTCTCTGGCTGAAAGAGAGGATTTCAGATGGGATCTGAAAAGGCAGTAGTCAGTCACCAACCGACAAGAGAGGAAAGCAAGGACTAAGAGACTAAGATTGAAAGGTGGCAGGACACAGGCCAGGCCAATATTGCTGGATTCGAATAACTCAGAATCTGCCCAGCTATAGTGCCTAAGCTAATAATAAATATAATAAGTTATTAATTGGGAGCTGCGGTGGGCATAGAAAGGCAGGACTGTTACAACAGATTGCATAAATTCTATTGTAACAGTGCCATGTTCTACACAGTCCTTATTCTACACTGATTCATCAAACCAGCCACAGAAAAGTTTAAAAACATTTCCAGTTGCAAGTATTTATCTGTGGGTGAAGGGATCAAGACAGATACTTCGTGGCCTTACTTTTGTATTTGACTTGGGGGAGTGTTTGCTAGGTGTTGAGAGAATTTGAGGGGAAATGTGGTGCCCTGGGTTCCACCCATAACACTGCCAGAACCCCCGAAAGAGATGAAGAATTAATCCCAAATTTCTCAATTACCCACTCAAGAGTATTCTTTAAATCTGACTAATGGCCAAGGCTACACAGAAAAACCCTGCCTCAAAAACAAACAAAAAACCCCTCATGTACAGATTTCCTTTACAAAAACAAGTCTTGGGCGGGGATGCATATGGCTCAGTGGTAGAACACCGACGTTCAATCCCAGCACTGAAGGGAAAGACAGAAGAATCCCCTCAGCCTCAAACAGCTATCTATGACCACTTGTTTGAGAAATATCGACTAACTAGCTAAGTGGTCCGGGACAGTAGGGTACGCTGGAGAGGCTGACATAGGAGGAACATGAGAAACACTAAGTAATCTTGTCTTATCAATTATGAGTTCTCATTACAAATGGAAGAAAATATAATTTCTCTGGACCAAAGTGAAAAAAAACTAAACAAACAATATACTATTACCACACAACTTTAAATCCTTAACTTAGCTATAGATTCCTTATGTTCTATAGATGAGGGTTCCCAGAATCAGAAATTATATAGCACCCAGTCAAATTTGAATTTCGGGTAAATTGCAAATAAGTTTTTTAGCATATCTTAAATATTACATAGTTATTTACCTGAAATCCATATTTAACTTTTTCACATCTTCCTCGTAACCACAATAGTCCTGAGCATGAGAAACTCACATACTGCTGGGCATGGTAACACAAACACTTTAAATCCAGCACTGGTGAGGCAAAGGCAGGTAGATCTCTGAGTTCAAGGCCAGCCTGGTCTACATAGAAAGTTCCAAGATAGCCAGAGCCACACAGAGACCCTGTCTTAACAAAAACCAAACCAAAAACAAAATCAACCAACCAAACAAACAAACAAAAAATTCACATGACATTAAAACATTCAAAGTTAACTAATAACTAGGATTGTTTATTTATCACTAGCCTGGACTATCTGAATAACTATTACATCTGTGGTTCTTAACCTGTAGTTCGTGACCCCTTTAGTAGGTCAAATGACCCTTTCACAGGGTCACATATCAGATATTTATATTACAAGTCATAACAGTAGCAAAATTACAGTTATGAAGTAGCAACACAAATAATTTTATGGTTGGGGGTCACCACAACATGAAGAACTGTATTAAAGGGTTGCAACACTAGGAAGGTTGAGAACCACTGTATTGCATCGTAACAGGAAAAAGTAAACCACAGGCCCAACTCTGCTAATGCACAGCCGGCAAGGAAAGTATGGTTTCTACATGTTCAAATGGTTGCAAAAATTAAAACAGATGTTCCATGAAATGTTACAATCATTGGCCACTCAAATTTCAGTGCTATAAATAAGTTCTTATTAGAACACAGTCACCTCATTTGTTCATGGTCTACACTTGTTCTCTCCTCACAAGAGCTCAAGAGTTGTTAAAGAGACCATAGGGTTCCAAAACTTTTTAAAAAGAAAGTACTATCTTTTATTATCTGGTCATTTTCAGAAAATGTCTGCTTTCCTCCAAGAATTATAGTCCTTGGTTACCTTCAAGAGATACAAGAAGTTCCTATTGCTGATGACACATCATGCACTTCAGAAACTGGGAGGAGGCCCTTGAGCTGGAACAGACCTGAATCTACCCTCCCTGAGGACTAGCTTTTATGGTATCAGAAGGCACCATACAACCTTCCAAAGGAAGGAGGCAACCAACAATCTTACCCAGACATAACACTTATGAACCACATCAACGACCAGCATGATTCAATATCTCTAAGGTGCAGTACATACATACCTTTGCAGTAACCACTAGTTTCTAACTGGACTTAAGATCTGCTCAATAAGTGGAAAACTATGGTTGGCATCGGATACCTGACAAAATTTGTAGTGCTAATAAAGTCATGGACCTTAAAGAACCTACAATCACCACTTTACTAAAACAGCATAATCCCTAACAACAATCTAAACACTTATCCTTATACTCACAGATAAGTGTAGTCCTCACCCATCTCTTTGCAACAGATTGAAACCATTACAGAAAACCCACAACCAATCAAAATGAAGAGTTCTGGCCCAGTCCCAACGGATACCTCTACAAAACACTCCCACACCCAAGTCTCAGGGAATACTGTGGAAGAGGGGGCAGAAACTGTAGAAGCCATAAGATCATGATGTTTGCTGCGAGATTTGTCAGAAGCTCTGTCCATAAAATCTCACAAAAATGACTGCCTAAACACGAATGGAACAAAAATGACACCAATAGATAGGCCAAATTGGACAGGTGAAAGCCCAGAAGGCCTCAACCCTACAAAAAGAACTATAAGCAACTAAGGAATTGCTGAGTGAGAGTCTTCCCCAAAGAAGAACAAACCAATCATTATCCAAAACAAATGGTCAGCCCTGAAATCATACATATAAATAGCATTATACAGACGGAGCAAGTTACATTTAGGGATATATATGTATACATACATAAATATAAACATGTAAAAATGATTAATAAAAAAAGACCATGAATTTGAAACACAGAAAGAAGAGGTGTATGAGGGGAGGGTTGGAGGGAGAAAAAGAAAGGGAGAAATTGTGTAATTATATTATAATCTCCAAAAGAAAAAAAAAACTGCAAATATGTTTGCTAACCTTAGCTCTACAGAATAATTTTTGTTTTTAGACTAATTTTCTTAGACCAAACAAACATGTCTTACAAAAGTAAATTCTTGTTCTTCAATTTTAAAACTGACATTACTTTTAAGTATTCCAGATCCATAATTGTGATAAGGATAATAGAAAAGCATATAATTATATAAAACACAATGCCAACTATTGACCTTGTATAGAATTTCTATCCTCATGCCAAACATGAAATAAGTATTAAGGCAATTGCTATTAAATGGCTAGCAATCTAAAGCTGGGTGTAATGGCATAGCTCTGAAATCCCAGCACTTAGGAGGTTGGAGGCAGAAAGATCAAGAATTCAGGCCCAGCCTTGACTATATGACCCTACCTAAAAACAACAACAAAGAATTAATATCAATTGAAGAAATATGACTACAGCAGTTCCTAGAAATACTGTCCAAGTTTCTTATCCTTATAATAATCTTGCCTTATACATAAACTATGATATTCCTAGTTACTCTATAAAACAACAGTAAAGAAGCACCCCTGAACTCATAACTGTAGTAGACACTAGGAGTCTCACAACCACTTACGTTATTAAGCAGTTGGCTGCAATACCAAAGGCTGTCTTTGAAAACAAACAAACACCTATGCTGAATATATTCCTATCAGTAATCTCTACCAGCAACACTGCAGAGATAAAAAGCACAGTGAATTCATTCCACTTAATTTACTAATGGAATCACCTCTCAGAATCAGTTTTTATTAATGGAATCTAAGATTGCTGACGTCAAACCAAATCCAAATTCTCATCCAGCTATCGTTGTTTTGTAATGACAACCACAAAAAGCCCACTTTTACTTAATGAGTTTAAACCAATAACATCACTAAAAAAACCTATTCCCCAACTGATCGGCAAATTAATTATGCCCTATAAAAACAACTATATCATAAAGAATTTCCAGTCAGAGTTTAGTGGCATTGAAAGGTAATTCATAAAACAAAAGACACTCGAAGAGAGACTTTGCTCCTATGGACTCTCCGGCCTGTACATTTCTGATCGCTTATGTTTAGGCTTGTCACTTCCCTATTAAGGCTAGTTCCGTGGATTAGAAGAACCTACGCTGAGAACTAAACACGCAACTTCGAGGAAGTGCAAACAAACCCTGCACCTAACGTGCCTGTTCACATTCTCCATTTTCCACTGGGATGGAAAACAACAACAACAAAAAAAAAAAACCCACATCTGATAAGTATGAACAGTGACAGTCACGACAACCCGTGAGGCCGGCCGGCAGGACTTGGTTCCTTTCCTTTTAGATTACAAGCCCGATTTCTCAACTCCATCCCGACCCAGGGCGCTCCTCAAGTCTGGAAGCCCGACTCTCAGCAAGGGGTAGGCACCCAGTTTTGGCCAGGAGACTCCTGACATTGGCAGGGCTGGGCGCTTTAGGTCCTCTGGACTGAGAACAGCTGTGCCAGGATCCGCCCGAGACAGAGAGAGCCAAGTAAAGGGCCCGCGGAGTGCAGGAGCTGGAGGGGGGCGGGAGCCGCCTGGGTCACCAGCTCCCCGGCTTGGCCTCGGGATTGGGGGCCGAGCCTTCAGCGGTCCTCGCTTGGCCACAGGCGCGGGCCAGAGGAGGAGGCCGAAAGCCCCAGCGGCCATGGCAGGGGGCCCGGCACCTACGTGGTCGGCGTTGCTGTTGGCGCTGTGGAAACACACAGCGCTGAAAGTGTAGCCCGAAATGGAAGCCGCCATGATGGAAATCTCCACCTCCCCCATCATGCCCCGCGGAGGGCGCACTGTCTTCCGGACGCCCCGCCACTGGGCATCCTGGGAAATGGAGTCTTCCTAGCTGCCTCCGGTGAGGACAGGGAAGTTAAGGATTCCAGATCAAAGAGACCCAAGCACCTTCTGTTCCATGTGTCTCTACAGCCTTGTTATAATTCAGTTTGTCCATTCTGCAAATGAAGCTGAAGGATGAAAGGCTGGAGATGATTCAAGCAATTGAACAGTTGGGATTTGACACAGGAATAGCATGATGTAATTTCAATTTAAACAGACCATTTTGCCTGCCTGGTTAAGACTAATGGCTAGGAGAGGTGGAAGGTTATGATAAGGGGATCTACAATAATCCTCACTGGTGTAGTGACAGGGGAATTTTGGTCAGAAGTAGTGGAGTTGGTAAAACGACTGGATTCTGGATTCAAAAGAATTCATATATAAGCTTGTAGTGGCAGAAGGGTTGCAAGTCCGAGGCCAGCCAAAGATACATAGAGAAATCTGTTTCAGCAAACAGCAGCAACAACAACAAACCCTACACGTGTAGCGAAAATCATAGAAGATAAAAACAAGTAATAAGTAGTGAAAACTAAACTATCAAGGTTAGAAAAATAGGAACTCAGGGAAGGGATTCTTCAACTTGCCTCCTGGTTTGCCTACAAAGCTGCTTCTCACTGCTTACCCAAATTCAGCAAATAAAACTCTCTGACAGTTTCTGATCATTGCTCAAGTCAAAACCCTTGCAACCTTGGCAACTTCGTTTTTCCTGATCCCCACATCACATCGACTAAAACAACCTTCAAAATACAGAGTTCGATAATTCATTAGCAGCACACCTGCCACCTCAATCCAAAGCACTGTCATCTGTCTCTCGGTTACCGAAACTTCTCCAAGAGAGTCCCAGTTGGTGGCAATTTTACCCTTCAGGGACACTTGGCATTGTTAGGAGCTATTTTCCAATGTCAAACCCAGGGGAAAGAGATAAACTCAGGAAGGGCCTCATAACAGAATTAACTAGTGCAAAACATCAAGGTAATGAAGTGAGGCTGTTAACTTGCAAAATATATTCTCAAGACAGCCAATGAAATGGTTATGTTAATGTTTAAATATAAGGTGTAAATCATACTTGGCTAACCTCCAAACCCTACACTGACAGACCCCTGCTTCTACTACCCTGGTTTACTTGGCTTCAGCTACAGTAGTCGACTCTTTGCTTTCTGGAAGCACTGAAAATTCATCAGGTCATAGTGCCTTTGCATTTGTTGTTTCCTCTGCCTGGAATGCTAGTCTCCTGGACAACTGTGTAGCTCACTGTGTTATGCCTGCACTAGGTGCCCTGAAAGGCCACTGAGGCCCCTTCTTGACAGACCAATTGGCTTAGCCTAGCTTCTGGGAAAGTTTTTCATTGACAGCTCTCAGCTCACATCTCCTGGAACTATTCCTTGTGTGAAAGAACCTAATTTTCCAACAGCAGTCCTTTACAGTTCAGCTAGTTTTTTTCTTTTTCTTTTTAATACAGCTTAGGACCACCTGCCTAAGTGTCGCTTACAAAGACCTGGGCCCTCCTACATCAATTAACAATTGCTAGAAAGAAAATCTGATAGTTCCATTTTCAAAGGTGTCTCAAGCCATCTTATGTCCAACTAGACGTGAACACAAAAATTAGGCCCTTGCTAATGTTGATAGTCTTTCTATTCCCCTACACCTAAACATTAATAAGCTGTCCTCCAAAACTATAAGTTTACAGTAGAAACAGCCAAGCTTGCCTACAAGGTCATATATTTGATAAGCTTTAAATAATCAGGACGTAAAACATGGAGATAGGCCCATACATGGTTTATGTTGTCAGGACTGTATCCTCCTAATTATTCAAAAGAAGAAAGGGTCACTCTTTAGGGTTTGTGGACAGATGGTGCTCGGCACTCGGTAGGCTTGCCATTCTAGGCTGATACAGGAGTTTTCAAGTTTGCAAAACAGACTGCTTCACTTTCTCACCTCTGAGATTCCAGGATTCTTATTGTGAAGTGCAGATTGCTGTTTCCCGCATGATCAAGACAATCCCCAACAGGCCAATCTGATCCAGGCAATTTCTCACTTGAGGCTCTCTTCCCAGATAATTCTAGGGTGTATCAAGTTGACACAGCTGACCAAGACAAACTCCTATCACCACCTAGCATTATCTGTTGTTTTCATTCCATTTTTCTGTTTATTGTCTTTTTTCCTCTGCTAGCCTATTGTGATATTATTGAAGGATTTATTTGCTTGCTGTTGCATTTTTGTCATATGGAATAATGCCAGGCATGTAGATACTGTCCAGTTTGTAACTGTTGAGTAAATGTTGTGTGAAAAAGTGTGAAGGTCATAGGAAGCTGGTTTTATTCTATCAGCAGGTTATGGTAGGGGAATGTAGATGTGCTGGGTTGGTGGTGCCTGCCTTTAATCTTAATATACAGACTTCAATTCCTGGACCCCATGTGGTAAAAGAAGAGAACTGACTCTTGAGGGTTGTCTTCTGATTTTTATGCACAAAATGTACACATATTGTGTATGTGTGGCCTGTATTCATAATAAGCAGGTAATAAAATTTTTAAAAGAGAGTGTCTAGTTGGGCTGTGTTGGCACATGCCTTTAATCCCAGCACTTGGGAGGCAGAAACAGGCAGATCTCTGATTTTGAGGCCAGCCTGGTCAATAGAGAGGCAGGGCAGCCAGCTACACAGAGAAAACTTGTCTCAAATAACAAAATACAAAAAAAAAAAAAAAAGAAAGAAAGAAAGAAAGGAAAGAAAAGAAAAAAGAAAAAAAAGGGCGGTGTGGAAGGGTCTGGAGGCATGGGGGAGTGCATGAATTTAGTTTCATTGAATTTAAGGTATCAAGGGAAAGCCAGGAAGCTAGAAGAATAAGTGGAAACTGTGAACTGTAAAACCCTATTTCTTGTTTGGTGTGATTGAGTCCTATCACACACCTTTAATCCAAGGACTCTCTCTTTATTGTAAACAGGTCATTATGGTATGACTCACCCAGCCCTAGCACACACCTTTAGTCCAAGAGCTTTCTGTACACAGTATTTAGTAAAGCTAACCTTACGGCAAGAACCAGTTGACAGGGATTAAAGAGTAGGAGGGATTTTGAGTTGAGGGGTATTTAAGGCATCACGACTTTAGCTTGGGCTTCAGCTCTTAGCTCCCTGGCTTTTGGGACTTTGAGCTAGCAAGCTTTTGGCCTTGGGTATTTTGGCCTTTTCCTCCTGGGATGTCAGTTGATCTAGTAGCATTTTGGGTTTTTTTTTTTCCATCCCGACCTGGGCTGAGAAGATCAGCTGGGTGCTTTCTCTGCCTCTCTGAGCTAGCAGGTTTTCACTCCAGCATCTTGCTCCTGGGTCTTTATTGGTAAAATAGAATAGTTGGGATTTTCATTTTTGTTTATAACAACAGGTCATTACCAGGTAGGGAAACAGTTCTCAACCTGTAGGTTGTAACCCCTTCAGGTATTGAATATCCGATATCCTCCATATCAGATATTTACAAGTCATAACAGTAGCAAAATTACAGTTATGAAGTAACTGAGGAACTATATTAAAGGGTTACAGCACTAGGAAGGTTGAGAACCCTGGGCTATGGGGTCTTTATTTGGTATCCTTAAGACCAAAAATATTTCATATTTTGAAGCTGTTTGGATTTTAGATTTTTGGATTATTGATTGTACTTGTTGGATTTTGTCAACTTGACACAAACCTAAACTTGCTGGGGAAAAGGACTGACAATTGAGGAATTGTTTCCACCTCATAAGTTGGCCTCTGGACATGTTTGTGGGATTCTCTCTCTTTAAAGATTTATTTAGTCATTATTTATACAGCATTCTGCCTGTGCATGGGAAGAACAGCCAGTGTTCTTAACCTCTGAGCCATTTCTCCAGCCCATAGGTCATTTTCTTGATTGCTAACTGAAGTATGAGGGTTAAACTGAAGTATGAGGTTGAAGTATGGGCAGTGCCATCCTTGGGCATGTGGGTCTAGGCTGTTTAAACTTTTGCTCCAGCTCCATTTTTTTTTCTTCTAGCTTCCTCGATTTTCACTGATACTTTAAATCCAATGAAACTACTCTCACCCTCCCTCATGCCTCCAGACACCACCCTATTTATTCTCTCTCCCCCCACCTCTTGGTTTTTTGAGACAAGTTTTCTCTGTGTAGCCCTGGCTGTCCTGGAACTCACCCTGTAGACCAGGTTGGCCTCAACCTCAGAGATCTGCCTGCCTCTGCCTCCAGAGTGAGTGCTGGGATTAAAGGAACAGGCCACCACTATCTGGCCAAAACTGCTGCTTTAAAGATTCATTGCATGATCACTGTGTTGTTACTGGAAGAGGGCATGAGGAGCAACTCAGTAAGTTTTCCTCATGGACTCTGCTTCAGTTCCTACCTATGAGCTCCTGCCCTGGTTTACCTCAATGGTGGCTTATATAACTTGTATGCCAAAACAAACAAACAAACAAACAAACAAACAAACAAGACCCTTTCCTCAATGAGATGCTTTTGGTCACTATTTTATCACAGCACAAGAAAAGCCAACCAGAGCAAAGATGCTCAACCTGTAAAGGTAACAGCTGACATTTTCTGAACCCTGACTATATGTCAGGCCCTTTCTAAGCTCTTTAAATACAGTGTGGTCACTTATAGTTCCTTCCATATCTCTGACGCAACATTGTTTAAAGCTCCATTTTATAGTTGAAAAAAAAAAACAAAACAGAACTTACATTTACTGACCATTTCTCATGTGTCAGACAGGTAGAATTTGACTGGATGAATCTCATTTGTCTTCTCTAGGTGGCTTTTGGGATAGGTACTACTATTATGGTTGTTGTAATTATAGGTTGCATCAGCTGACCTGGGGAACAAAAACTTGCCCACAGTGATGTCTCAAAACATTGGGGTCTACCTCAAGAACTGAGTGCCCACTGTTCCCTTTCAAAAGCTCACATTAGAGCAGAAGTGGGAGATGGAGGGTGATAAGGAGGGTTTTTATAGAAGTGTGTTCTCTGATACTGAGTGTTGTGTGGTCAGAGAAGGGAAAGCTCTGCCCTTGATCTTGGATTTGTCAAATGTGAGGTGCATACATAGTTCCAGAGGATCTGGAGGTGGACACTGTGCAGGAATAAAAAAAAAATAAACACAACGACAACAACAAACCCCTGAGGCTGGCAACCTCAGATTCTATAGGTCTGCCTCTGGCCTCAAGTAAGTGGTGCTCAGTGGGAGGGGCTGTGTCCCTCATATAGTTCTGCTTCTCCTGGTGCTTACACAGTGGAACTTCTCCTACAGCCAAGAATCCTGTTTCCCTGGGTGATCAGAGGTGGTGCCCACAGTCCTCAGCACTAAGCAGCCAGAATAATCCTTCCTGGAGCCATGGAAGAAACTTGGTATAAACTATGTTCTTTTTTTTTTTTCCCCAGGGCCCCATACCAACAACTGTTTATAGCTTTCATCATACACAGCGAAACATCTTAAGTGTTGGCAAGACACTTGGCTGAAGACAGGCTTATCTTCCATGGTTGCTCCTTAATTAGAACCTAAAACTTTTAAAGACTCAGTTTGTCACACTTAGGCTTGCTTTCTGTAGCATCTAGAGTCTAGAAAAGATCAAAACAGCTGTGTGCCCAGGGCAGCACTAGTTGGCTGTGGTATCCGGTGGTTTTATTGCCCTGTAATAAGGTTACTCATGCTCTTTCTTGAGTTCTTTAATCACTATGTACATGGATTTCCATCTGCCCTTTACTTTATTCTTTATTGTCAGAAGATCTTGGAACATCATGTATAGGAGAAGAGGAACTGCAACTGTTGTTGCCATTTGCCTCAAGGGACTTGTTATGGGAAGTCAACAGAAATGTCGCCCTGGAAACAAGCTTTCCTTGGAAGGCAGCTTGCTAGGGGCCTCTGAGATCCTTGTCGTTGGATATTGGACCATGGCTATTTGAGTATTTCACAGCTAATACAGAAAAGATCCTAGGCTCCTGACACATAAGATTTCTTGTATTATGGCTGTAGTCAGGCCAGTAGGCAGAAGACATCTCAGGGTTCACACACTCTTGAAGAACAGGTTACTTTTTATTTTGAGTCAACTACAGTGAAACTAAAGCATGCAGAGGTTGAAAGTTGGACAGGCTCATATGCCTAGCGGGGAACAGAGCAAGACCTACCGAGGCACCCTAGCATTGTCCTACTCATTTTATTATGATTCCGTGGTTGGTAGTGTACTGTGAGTGGGCGTAAGGCAATCATATCTTTGGCCATAAGCTCTTAAAAGGCCAGCCAGTTACATCAAGTCACTTTCTATAATTCTACCCACAAATGAAATCAGTCTTTTGGTCGGGAAGCCAGTAATGCGATGGGCTGACCACTTTTCAGGTCTGCCTGGCTAGAGAGAGAGAACATTCATTTGGACTGAGTGGTGTGTGTTTCAGGCGTTTTTTGTGGCTTCTGACTGCTTGTTTTCCAAAGTGCAGCATTCTGAACGACGACTTACAAACAGCGTCCTCAGATTTGGTCACGTTGTGGGCTATAGAGCAAGGGATGCATGAGATGTTAGTTGGAGGGTTCCCTTGGCTTCTCTAGCCTGCTCTGCAGGCTAGGCGGCCTCTAGGCAGCCGAGGTTCTCTCCAGCGTTCCGCTTTCCAAGACTTGGCCTGGAGCATTAGAGAGAGGGCCTCCCACTGCCTAGAGAGGCCAGGTCCCACGCATCCCCTCTGCTCGAGCCGCGACTCTATGGCGGCCGCGACCGCTCACTAGCCGCGGAGCGACATGAACACGGGTGCTGACGGCCAGAGCGGTGCAGTGGTTGCCGCGCGGTCTCGAGAGGGCAGTCCCGCGGCGGCTGACTTCGTCCCATCGGCTCTGGGGACCCGAGAGCAGTGAGTGTGATGGGGAGGGTGAGCGGGAGTCGGAGGCCAGGAAGGAGATGGCGCCCCTGGGGGCCTGAGGAGGGTGGGAGCCACCTGTGGGGGCTCAAGGGGCAAGGTGCCAAGCACGCCCCGGGGGGCGGTCAACCCTCTTTCAAGTCCACCCGAGGTCCTTGGGGTGCCGGTGTAGGGGTCTGGAATCTGAGTTGGGAAAAGAAGGAGAGGATTGGGCAATGAACTATACAATGGCCCGAGAGGTCGCGGGAGAGCTGTGAGGTCGGAGTAGAGGATGCCCTGAACTGGGAGCTACGGAGATAGATGGTAGGGGCTCTCGGGGAAAGAGGAGAAGTGATCTGACCCAAAATTGAAGCTCAGAAATTAATGGATTAGGATATAGAGCAGTGTGAAGAATAGGGAGTAGGGGGAGGGAGCAGGGATTGTAGAGATGAAATTGGAAGAGAAAGCAGATGATAAGGGGGAGGAATTGCAGTTTTAAGGACTAAGAGAAGATTTAGTGGGAGAGCTAGTATACAGGGAGAGACAGAGACTGTTTTAGCATTTAATTTTAAGCCCATTTTATCTTGGCTACATTCATTGTGAGCCAACCGCTGACCTACTGGTTAGAAAAGCCTGTATCTGCACATTGAAGACCAAATTTAGAATAACAATTCATCTGGCACAGTTCAGTTTGGAACTTGACTCTAGCACTTAGAGATTCTTGACAGTTGCCTCTTTATTTAAGCTTTATACAATCATATATGATAAATATACAATCATATATGATAAATAATCATACCTGATGATGAATAACCGTTCATCAGATGAGTGTAAGTATTTGTATAATTTATTCAGTTTGCCCATAATATTTGTTCTTTTACCCAAGGATGTTAAATTGAACTATATGCACTTACTGGTAACACTAATAATGTTTAAGGCCATTGTAAGTAGCTATGTAATACATTGGAAATATCCATTTAATTCTCAAAATACAGTGTAACCAGAGTCTTGCTTCACATTTCATTGTTTATGTAGTTGGGATGCTGTTTATGAGAGAGAACTGAGAACATTCCAAGAATATGGAGATACAGGAGAAATCTGGTAAGTTAAGCTGAGGATGTGAGAGAGCATGAGCCTGTGCACTTACAACAAGGAAGACAGCCTAGAGCTCTTCAGAAGCATGGGTGCATCCTGCTTCAGTGACAGCTTTCAAATCTCTCTCTCTTTCCTTTTATTCTTGTGCTTGTTTTTTTTTTTTTTTTTGTTTTTGTTTTTGTTTTTGTTTTCTTTTTGAGACAGGGTTTCTCTAGCCTCAGCCATCCTGGAACTTGCTCTGTAGACCAGGCTGGCCTCGAACTCAGAGATCCACCTGCCTCTGCCTGAATCTGACTTCAGTGATAAATTTAAAATACTTTTCTTTTTTAATGACCTAGATTTAAATTGATCATAGTACTAGGATGTTACTTTCATTCCATTGTTCTCATTTTTCAGTAAGTAATGAAATTCTGAAGTACTAACATTTGCTGATGTCCAAGAAAGCAGTTATTAAGATAACAGTTTTTAAGGATTAATGCTGATGTAGATAGAGTATGTGTATTTATAAATATGTATGTCTATGTACTTACATATTATATGTGGGAATATACATCAGTATGTATATTGCACATATACCTTGGGTATTTCATTTTTAGTGGTGAAGTCTCCTAAATAACAATAAACAGTTACAAATGCTACTTTTTGCTTTTTAAAAAAGGCTTACGTGAGCATATGGTATAAGCGGCACAGGTGAAATATAGTTGTAACTTTTGCTGTACATCTGTTCTTTGTATTCTGTTCCTACCAGGTTTGGGGAGGAGAGTATGAACCGACTAATAAGGTGGATGCAGAAACACAAGATCCCGTTGGATGCCTCAGTGCTTGATATTGGAACTGGAAATGGTGTTTTCCTGGTTGAACTTGTTAGTACTTTGAGTATTCATATGTGGGAACCATTTCTAAAATGAAAGTTTAAAAAAATGTTGCAGCTAAGAGATTACCATCTAAATGTGAAACAGCAAAGCATTTGGGACACTGACTTTGAGTGTTTAACCTGGGAGGAAAGGCAGACTGCTTGGATTGTGGCAAAGCACTAAATATATGGTGTCAGGAATAATCCTGAAAGATGGCTCCCAGGTGTCTAGTGAATGGTGAAGTCCTAGAGGTATAAAATCTCACAAGCCATAATCCTGAAAGAGTAAAATCTTGAATGTTGAAATTCTGGAAGCCAGAATTCTGAAAACTTCAATCCCTGTATTCCTATAGCAAAAAGCAAAGGATGCATAAGGAATAGAAAGCTGGATAATTCTGAGGGGATTCGAACATCTATAGTGCTGTGTGTGGTATCTGTATCATGTTATGTGTAATGGATACCAAAAGTCCTGACCGAGCATCATTTAGGGTATTTATGTGAGGTTTCCAGAGGAGATTCATGTCTGAATCTCGTTGGAATAAGGAAGGAGCTGTCTCGCTGTGGGTGTACATGATCCCAGAGGTTGAGGCCTGTCAGGGACAAACATAGCAGGTAAGTTGCTCTTTCTGAAAGTGGGGACAGTTTCCTTTTGTTGTTGTGCATTTTGAAACTTTTGGCTGTAGGACCCTAGGGATTATACCAGTGGTCCTGCCTTTGAGCCACAGACTGAGAGTTACACCATTAACTTCACTGGTTCCTAGGCCTTTGGCCTTGAACTAAATCATGCTACTGGTATCCCTTTGCAGACCAATTGTGAAACTTCTCAGCCATAATAATTGTATGAGCCACTTGCTCTAATAAACCCTTCATGTCTGTATCTCTTACTGGTTTTTGTCTCTAGATATTTTTACTAATATAGATTTGGTATTGGGGACACAGCATAATTCCTTCTTACTGTATTCCTTAGAACATAATGAAAGAAATCTGAAAAATTGTTATCTCACAAAAAGGTTTTAGAATAATTTAATTTTTATATTTGTTTATTTGTATATATGTCTATTAGGCTTGGTGGCCAAGTGCCTTTACCTACTGAACCATCTCACTGTCCCCAAGGCTTTAATAATTTAATTGTACAGGGCTTCTTAATTGTTGAACTTAATTGTTTTAGAGTTAGGGTCAATGAGACACCTCAGTGGGTGAGGAGGCTCGCTCCCAAGCCTGCCCACCTGAGTTAGATTCCTGAAAACTATGTGTGGAAGGAGAGAAATGATTGAGTAATGCTAGTTGCTTCCCTCTGACCTCCATAGGGATGCCCATGCACCTATACAAACACACAAAATAGATGTAAACATTTTTTTCAAGTTTGTGTGTGTATCTCTGTGTGTGTGTTTAAAGTCATACAGTGTCTCTGTGTAGCTCTGGCTGTCCTGGAATTCTCTATTTAGACCATGCTGACCTCAGATACACAGAGATCTGACTGCTTCTGCCTCTTGAGTGCTGGGATTAAAGGTGTGTCTGACCATGCCCAGAAAGTTAAAAAAAAATTTTTTTTTAAAAGCTAATTACTGGTGTTGTGGAAACTGTTTAATTGTAGTCACCAAGCAATAACAAGCCCTTCAAATGGACACATGTACTTAACACAATTTGACAACTGAAATAACTCTTCAAATGACAGTGCAGTGTGGCAGTGAAAATGGTGGTTTAAAACGTAAGAAAACCAGGGATGGGGAATTTAGCTTAGTGATAGAAAAGCCTTGAGTTCAGTCCTTACTGGGATGGGGGAAAGAAAAACATTTGAGGGGCTAGAAAGATGGCTCAGGGGTTAGGAGCACAGGTTGCTCTTCCAGAGGACTCAAGTTCAATTCCCAGCAACCATATGGCATTCCACAACTGTCTGTAACTCCAGCTCCAGAAGATCTTACACTTTCACACAGACATAACATGCAAGTAAACACCAATGCACATGAATGAATGAATGAATGCAAGAAAATCTTCCTTAATTACTTAGTTGTGTATTCCTGCCAATTCTACACAGCACTGTACTCCTTGCAAAGAATGCCTATCAGAAGGAGCTTGAGAAGCTCAGTGGCGTTCTGAACAGAAGCACTTAGCTTGACTACTGAAGACGACACACATATTTATCATTAAGTCTAACTGCAGAATACCTCATTTTGACTAATGGATGGCTCAGGCTACTTTGAAACCATCTCCATTAACAAAGATACAAAACTCATTCCCCTGTTAGGCTTGAACATATAAAAACTTACTGCTCTGTTGTCTATTAATATCTAGAAATAGTAAAGCTTTGAGGAGACTTTGAGGTGTTGGGAGATTTTAGAAAATGAGCTTAAATTGTATCCCAAGACAGTAATGACAGGTGAGTGAGGGTTTAGGCACAATCCAGCCTTCAGCCAGGGAATTTTAAAGTGTAGCCAGTAAAGGTTTTTTGTTTTTGTTTTCTCCACTCAGTTTATATTATTATTATTATTATTATTATTATTATTATTATTATTATTATTATT